TCACCTATGACCCTGCCGGCTACTCACAACAGTCTTCAAACGCCTTGAATTACCCTTAAAAACGTAAATCCACGCTCCACACCGCTGTACACCATTTATCATGTGGGAGTTCGATACGTGGATTAGGGAAGAAATACTCACGTAGGCTGTTATTACTTATAATTGCTGTTATGTGGAGAGAGACCGCAGCCGTTACCTGTCTCCTTGGTTACACTCGTAATACTGACTAGCCGGCTGGCCAGTACCCCGTAGTGGGTCTTTTGAAATAGTGTCAGCTCAGCACAGACCGTGACTCAAGACGGTTGGTCGTTGAGTCAACGGACAGGTTACTGGTAACTGGTTACTACTACTGAGACTGGTAACTGGTTACTACTACTGAGATGTATGTGTTAGGATGTAACTGGTGGGGTGGGAGGGGTTGTAGAAGTGTGGGTTGTATGTGTTAGGATGTAACTGGTGGGGGGAGGGGTTGTAGAAGTGTGGGTTGTATGTGTTAGGATGTAACTGGTGGGGGGAGGGGTTGTAGAAGTGTGGGTTATATGTGTTAGGATGTAACTGGTGGGGGGAGGGGATGTAGAATGTGGGTTGTATTTTGTTAGGATGTAACTGGTGGGGGGAGGGGTTGTAGAAGTGTGGGTTGTATGTGTTAGGATGTAACTGGTGGGGGGGAGGGGTTTTTAGAAGTGTGGTTTGTATGTGTTAGGATGTAACTGGTGGGAGGGAGGGGTTGTAGAAGTGTGGGTTGTATGTGTTAGGATGTAACTGGTGGGGGAGGGGGTTGTAGAAGTGTGGGTTATATGTGTTTGGGATGTAACTGGTGGGGGGGAGGGGTTGTAGAAGTGTGGGTTGTATGTGTTAGGATGTAACTGGTGGGGGGAGGGGTTGTAGAAGTGTGGGTTGTATGTGTTAGGATGTAACTGGTGGGGGAGGGGTTGTAGAAGTGTGGGTTGTATGTGTTAGGATGTAACTGGTGGGGGGGAGGGGTTGTAGAAGTGTGGGTTGTATGTGTTAGGATGTAACTGGTGGGGGGGAGGGGTTGTAGAAGTGTGGGTTGTATGTGTTAGGATGTAACTGGTGGGGGGGAGGAGTTGTAGAAGTGTGGGTTGTATGTGTAGGATGTAAAACTGGTGGGGGGGAGGGGTTGTAGAGTGTGGGTTGTATGTGTTAGGATGTAACTGGTGGGGGCGAGGTTGTAGAAGTGTGGATTGTATGTGTTAGGATGTAACTGGTGGGGGCGAGGTTGTAGAAGTGTGGGTTGTATGTGTTAGGATGTAACTGGTTGGGGGGCGAGGTTGTAGAAGTGTGGATGTATTGTTAGGATGTAACTGGTGGGGGGCGAGGTTGTAGAAGTGTGGGTTGTATGTGTTAGGATGTAACTGGTGGGGGGCGAGGTTGTAGAAGTGTGGGTTGTATGTGTTAGGATGTAACTGGTGGGGGGGGAGGGGGGTTGTAGAAGTGTGGTTGTATGTGTTAGGATGTAACTGGTGGGGGGAGGTTGTAGAAGTGTGGGTTGTATGTGTTAGGATGTAATGGTGGGGGGAGGGGTTGTAGAAGTGTGGGTTGTATGTGTTAGGATGTAACTGGTGGGGGGAGAGGGGTTGTAGAAGTGTGGGTTGTATGTGTTAGGATGTAACTGGTGGGGGGGAGGGGTTGTAGAAGTGGGGGTTGTATGTGTTAGGATGTAACTGGTGGGGACGAGGTTGTAGAAGTGTGGGTTGTATGTGTTAGGATGTAACTGGTGGGGGGGGAGGTTGTAGAAGTGTGGGTTGTATGTGTTAGGATGTAACTGGTGGGGGCGAGGTTGTGGAAGTGTGGGTTGTATGTGTTAGGATGTAACTGGTGGGGGCGAGGTTGTAGAAGTGTGGGTTGTATGTGTTAGGATGTAACTGGTGGGGGGCGAGGTTGTAAAAAGTGTGGGTTGTATGTGTTAGGATGTAACTGGTGGGGGGCGAGGTTGTAGAAGTGTGTGTTGTATGTGTTAGGATGTAACTGGTGGGGGGCGAGGTTTTGTAGAAGTGTGGGTTGTATGTGTTAGGATGTAACTGGTGGGGGGCGAGGTTGTAGAAGTGTGGGTTGTATGTGTTAGGATTGTAACTGGTGGGGGGCGAGGTTGTAGAAGTGTGTGTTGTATGTGTTAGGATGTAACTGGTGGGGGCGAGGTTGTAGGAAGTGTGGGTTGTATGTGTTAGGATGTAACTGGTGGGGGGCGAGGTTGTAGAAGTGTGGGTTGGTATGTGTTAGGATGTAACGTGTGGGGGGAGGGTTGTAGAAGTGTGGGTTTGTATGTGTTAGGATGAAAACTGGTGGGGGGCGAGGTTTTAGAAGTGTGGGTTGTATGTGTTAGGATGTAACTGGTGGGGGGTGAGGGTTGTAGAAGTGTGGGTTGTATGTGTTATTATGTAATGGTGGGGGGAGGGTTGTAGAAGTGTGGGGTTGTATGTGTTTAGGATGTAACTGGTGGGGGGGGGAGGTTTTTAGAAGTTGGGTTGTATGTGTTTGGATGTAACTGGTGGGGGGCGAGGTTGTAGAAGTGTGGGTTGTATGTGTTAGGATGTATGTGTTATAAGTGTATTATGAAGATGTTTGTGATTATATATATAGCGCTTCATTCTTTTTTTTTTTTTTTGATTATAATAATTGTGATTACATAACACTGTGTTACCAAGTAGGGTGTAAGATGTGTTAGGTTTGTCTTAGCACAATATTATATTGTATATTTCCTCAGTGGACTGTAGTAGTACCGGTGTTCAGTTCTTCCTTATAACATGTCACACTGAATGGTACCAATGTGTGTTTTTTGTAAATACATTGATCCGTTTATGGATTAGTGTTTAAAATTAATATTTTCAGCTTTGTGTTTTGGCATGTGAAAGTCGACATATTTGTAGTTTGTGTGTTCTCACCTGATTGTGGTGTGTGTGTGTGTGTGTGTGTGTGTGTGTGTGTGTGTGTGTGTGTGTGTGTGTGTACTCACCTATTTGTGGTTGCAGGGGTCGAGTCTTAGCTCCTGGCCCCGCCTCTTCACTGATTGCTACTAGGTCCTCTCTCTCCCTGCTCCATGAGCTTTATCATACCTCGCCTTAAAACTATGTATGGGTCCCGCTTCCACTACTTCATTTTCTAGGCTATTCCACTGCCTGACTACTCTATGACTGAAGAAATACTTCCTAACATCCCTTTGATTCATCTGAGTCTTCAACTTCCAATTGTGACCTCTTGTGTCTGTGTCCCATCTCTGGAACATCCCGTCTTTGTCCACCTTGTCTATTCTGCGCAGTATTTTATATGGCGTTATCATGTCTCCCCTGACCCTCCTGTCCTCCAGTGTCGTCAGGCCGATTTCCCTTAACCTTTCTTCTTAGGACATTTCCCTTAGCCCTGGAACTAACCTTGTCGCACTTTCTCTAATTTCTTGACGCGCTTGATCATGTGCGGGTTCCAAACAGGTGCTTATACTCCAGTATGGGCCTGACCTACACGATGTACAGTGTCTTGAACGATTCCTTACTAAGGTATCGGAACGCTATTCTCAGGTTTGTGTGTGTGTGTGAGGGAGAAGGTTAGAAGTGTAAGCTGTATTGTGTTGGCAACAGTATGACCAATACCTTTATTGTGTAGCACTAGGTATTTAGACTTAGGATGTGGGTTGTGTTGTAGGTTAGTATTAACGTCATTATGTAAGGTGTCAGTATTTAATGGACTGGAGTTGTGCCAGTGAAGATTCTTTGTTCACAACCAGTGTCATTGTACCATATTGATGTACGTATATGTATTTTGTACATGGTATTAATTAAAATATAAAAAAAAATAATATGACACCTCTAATGTCTGACACTCCTCGCAAGAGCAGACTGATAGTCACGGTAATATGTGACATCTTTGTGTCACACTGCCCATAACAGGAGGATGACACTTGAAGCTTACCTGGAGGTTATTCCGGGGATCAACGCCCCCGCAGCCCGGTCCATGACCAGGCCTCCCGTTGGATCAGGGCCTGATCAACCAGGCTGTTACTGCTGGCCGCACGCAGTCCAACGTACGAGTCACAGCCCGGCTGATCCGGCACTTACTGATAGTCACAGTAATATGACATCTCTAGTGTGTGACACTCCTCGTAACAACAGGTTGTTATTCATGATAATACATCATCTCATTTATGTCATACAGCCCACAGCAGCAGGCTGATAATCATGGTAACGTGTCACCTCTACTGTCACATAGCCCGTAGCAGCAGATTGAAGAACAGTCTTATGACACCTCTGCTGTCTGCCACTGTTTGTAGCTACAGGCTGATAGTTCAGTCTTATGACACCTCTGCTGTCTGCCACTGTTTGTAGCTACAGGCTGATAGTTCAGTCTTATGACACCTCTGCTGTCTGCCACTGTTTGTAGCTACAGGCTGATAGTTACATTAATACATCAATATTTTCTGTGACATAAAACTGCACCTATGGTGAATATTGATTTTTATATTTTAAACAACGACGGATCAATAATTTATCAACAGAGACGATAATAATTGATGATCTAATTAATATTTTGTAAACTTGATCTTTAATTATGACTTTTGTTTCTTTTGTACTGATTCTAGTTTATTTCTCTCTAAACATCTACAGAAAAGTCATGTTTTATTCTTGGTTATGTTAAATTATATTATGTTGAAAAAGGTATAAAATACCAACAAGTTGACGAGTAATACACATGTTACACAGGTGTCTTACTTGTTAAGTTAGATTATGTTAGAATAGGTTAACTTAAACATAAATTTACATAAATTTAACCACCAATAATAAAATAACTAACGGCCTACGGAAACATTTGTCCTGTTTCCTGACGAACCTTACCTAACCTAACCTAACCTACGGTTGAGGCTGGACAAATATTAACATATAACTAAGATGTATTTTTTTCGTTACATAACTGAATATAATAATAGAGGATTCATTCTAATAATTCTCCATATAATGTTTTTTTCAGTTAATTAAGACTATATATTTCAGAAACTCTGAGACTCTACCCTCCCTCCACCTTCGGTGAACGCCAGTGTACCAGAACCTACAAGTAGGTCTTACCTTCACAATTATTTACATAAAGTGGTTACTCTTAGTTATATGATAAAATATTTTATCATGTATAATAGTTTTTAGCTAAATTCATAACTATTTGTATTACACTAGCAATGTTTTCTCTTACAGGATTATTTTTTTTTTAAATATGGGTGTGTACTTCTATGGACGTATTTTTAAACATAATAATTTTCGGTTCTCGAATAGGTACAATATAATGAAATGTTAGGTAAATAATCTCATATTCATCATAAAGGTAAACTAATACAGGATGAGTTAGTGCACAACAAACTGCCAAATTATTCATAATTTTTTTCAAAAACAGTCCAATACACATTTCAAAAAACTGGAAAGTGCTTCCCAGTACTTTTCAGTTGCATACATCATCTATCTCAACTGCTGTTTTACCGTCCACTTGCTTTTCCCACTGCACCTCATTAAAGAATTGCCTCATACCTGTGCGGTCACCTCTTTCGAAGTTTGGTTTCCTATGCCATCTCTCTTTTTCCCCAGGCTGATGTCTGGCATCTTAGCTCTCCTCATTCCTGGTCCGTCTGTGTGGCTTGAGATTCTCCCAGTCTAATTCCTTGATCAACAGCTTGGCATTGCTCATATAGGCTCTTCTGTTACTGTATACACAACTGCTCTGTTGTTGTCGCATTCTTGTCCCGGTTTCCTGCTATTTAGTGTAGAGTTGTGCATCACTGTTATCACCACCTTCATTCTCCTGGTCTTGAGTGTACATACTATGTAGACATTTGCCTCTACTTTCTTTCTTCTGGTCCTATTAATTCGAAAAGTTTGTCCTTAACTGCCGTATTAACGTCTCATAATATTTTGTATGAATAATGTTTTAATATATTTCTCTATGTCAAGGCCTTTCAACTTTCTCAAAGTGTTGATACTATCCTGTGACATTTAAAGCTTTGTAATGTGCATGACCAGGTCTATTCTCTATTCTGTGTCCTCTTTCTCAATGATCAGCCTAACGTATATCGTATATAAGGTTCAGAAGGATTCTTTACTAAATTTTCTTCAATGATTTTCTGAGGTTATCTAATCTTATTTATGACGTTAAATGGATTATGAATATCTCTGGTAATATGTTTGACGTTAAATTATCCCCAGGTCCTCTTCGCTCTCTGGTAATTGCAGGTTATCCCTTTCCATGCTATCCTCTGTCCTATCTGTGCTCATCATTTTAAATTTGTTAGGGATGAAGTTATTAAGTCACTTGTTTGAGCACATCTGTTGTCCGTTCAAGTCTCTGGAGTTTATAACTTTTATTTTGTTCTTAACTTGACATTAGTATACAACATGGGCAAAAAGCACCCAAAGAACACCATCCAGTGAGGTAGGTCCTTCATATATATCCACGTGGCCCATTATTCATTGTCTCCCAGACACAGACACAGACACAGACACAGACACAGACACAGACACAGACACACTGACAGGAAGCCGCCCAGCCGCCACGGAGAGAAGACGTCGTCGTTCCTGCTCTTCAGTTATCCTGAGTAATTCTCGAGCTGAGCAACTCTGAACACTGTTGCTCGAGATTTTTCTTGGGTTATCCTGAGTTGTTCTTCACCAGAGCTGAGAGGAAACTTGTTTGCAGTCACTTCGACCCCCATCCCCCCAAGAGGGTAAGGCGGTGACTTGCTTGCTTTTTTCACCTCTCTCTTCCCCATCCCCCCATCCTTCCCCTTCACCCCTCCCCAAACAACTACAACTGGCCCACACACTAACACACTACATACATTGCTATCCTTCTAAACTTTCCTATCTTCTTATTTTTCGGCAACTTCGCTTTGGCGAGTTAACAAAAAGGCATTTTGACCATCCGGTAGCCCGTGTGGTTTTTAAAATCCGGCCAAATCTTTGGTCTTGGGCCCTTTCCCCCCCCACCACTCGAGGGTAGGCTATCTTAGGGCCCTGTGTCCCCCTCACCACTCGAGGTAGGCTATCTTAGGGACTGACCTTCAAAAAATCAGCTGAAATAGAATGTTAGACTAACACTAAGGAAAGACCCTTTTGTTAAAGTAACTTATGTGCCAGATGTACCTTCCTGACATCATGGCGCGGATAAGAGTAAGATTAGGGTTGATGACAACCAAAAGCCCAAGGAAGGAAATTCTAGCATGCATTTGCTCAATTCAACTGTTGCTCGAGTGGAAATGTTTTTTACAACTCTCGCTGGGGGAGTACTTCTCCTCTCTTCTGAAGAAGAGTTACTTCCAAATACTTAACAGGACGTCCTGGACAAATTGAAGACTTTGGTATCCACCCAATTGCACCTGAAAGCTATCAAGCACAACGAACTGTGTTGTTGCCAGAATTAACACATCATGAGAGATAGGGACAGTGAATGAACTTTTTGCTGACTTTTATGCAGAGAAAATTTAGAATTTCATGCTGTCCAAGCACATAAATTTCAAAAACCTAGTAACAAACAGGAAACATTAAAATTAATACTTGAGGGCACCTGAAGAAGCCAAAGTAATGTGCCAAAATGGCTTCAAATGTTTGGGACAAGATGTAAAACCAGACCAAATCTCTATTGAGCGGTTTTTCAGTGTGACACAATGTTACAAATGTTATCATTTGGGCATACCACCAACAACTGCAGTAACCAAGCACTGATTTGCAGCATATGCTCTGGGCAACATTCTTTCAAAACTTTTGATAAAACTAAACCCAAGTGTGTACTCTGCAATGGTAAACATCATGTTTCTGTTATCTGTCCTGAGAGGAAAAAGGAAATGCAGAAAATTCTAGAAGCTAAGAAACTGTCCACTTTTAAGAACCACTCCCCAGGCACCTCCAACAATTCCCAAACTTCCTTTCCCAGCTTGCCCGGATCTATGGGACCCTCAGGTCTCTTCCACGGGTTCCAATGTTTGGACTTCTGCCCCTCTTGGAGTGCCCCAATCTAACCCTCACATACAACATACACAAATGCAACAACAAGGTTTAGTCTCATCTCCTATGTCTCAGGTATCCACAACCGGGGATATGACGAGAGCACAACTGATGTATATGATGGCCAAAGACATAGCAGGTGGTGACATTCAGCTCTGCTCTAAGGTTTTAAATGATTTGTTAATGGCTAATGGGATCACTCCCATCACTATCCCAGAAAATGTGAAGGTTATTATGGACCAGCCTTCTCATAACAAGAAGTATGTTCCCTACTCTACTTCTACAAATAAGCCTAAGTCATCCTTGGTCCAGGGATCACCCACCTCGCATGCCAGGTTGTCAACTCCCCCATCCGATAGTCAATACCGACCATAAGATGCCCCAAGATTGGTGTTACTCTCCCCCTTTTGAAGCTGGTCCTTTTGAACGGGAACTTTCCCAGGGAATTCACTTTGCCTCCCAAAATTTTTTCCTTTGGAGCCTCCAAGCCCTCCCATTAACTCCCACAGCCTCTGTTTCCTGTAACGGGAATATCATACCTCAGTTTTCTGAATGACCTAATGACTCAATATTCTGTTAAATATTAAAAATTTAATGAAGATGATGCACTTTTAACACAAAACTACGCAGAACCCCCTCCTCCCCTTGACGAGTCCCCCAGGGATAGGTGATACAAAAATAAATATTTGAAAAGGCGTTCCAAAAGACCCGCAGTACACGACGAATTCAAAAAATAATGGGATTAAAATTTTTCCCAACTTAATGTTAAACATTTCTTTTTTAACCGTTCCCTTGAGGGTTAACTACATAATTACTTTTTTTATGTTATCTCTTGAATTAGACACGCAAGATTATCAACATATTAAATTTGGGGTTACTCTACTGTGGGGAAATGGAGAGGGAAATTTTAGTGGGGTTTCCATCTTGTTAATTAGGCTTAAAAATTTAAAAAAAATTCTGTTGATGAAATAACATTCTTGCAAAGAAAAGACAACGTCTCATGGGCCAAATAGTGTAGGAATGGATATTTCCCCCGAAAAACAAAATATAAGTCAATTCCCACATAGATATTTAAGCAAATATTCCACAAATTCTGCCCTCTTTAACTGTGGAGCGGGGATTTCCACTAGGGGACTTTAAAAGGGAAAACAACTATTTTAAAATTTATACAGCTAGAAATTTCATTTTAAGCCCATTCTTTAAACGTACGGGACCCCCAGGGAACAAGATAGTACGACAAAAAGAGACGTGACCTCTTTCATTTCGTATCTCTCCTGGTGGAAACGAAATCTGACCATAAACCCCGTTAAATACAAAACAAAATTTTCCATTTTTGAATACCCGTACCTCCAAAACCCCCTCTTAACACCTAGGATTTGACCCCTTCGGCATTTCTGGGGCAAAGATAAAATTTTCATTGGAAAAATCTACCTTCCACGCAATTGATGACGCACTCAGGGCCCTTCACAATAGAAAATTGAAGCTACAATGCAACTTGCCAAATTTGCTTCCACAAAACTACAACAATATAAACCCACTAGGAAATAAAGAGTTTTAAGAAATTTCAAGCAAATGTCGAAGGCATCTTAAAAACCGACAACCACCAGAGCCCCTTGCACAGATTGGGCAAGAATTAATTAACAGATTAGTCATCAAAACGGGACTTATGGAAATTTATAGTTCTTCAAACTAACATATAAAAAATGACCAGCAAAATTTTGGAGTAAGATTTGACACTGTTAGGGGGAAAGCACAAGGGTTCTAAATACCTAATTCATACCTTCACTGATGAGGATGATGAAAATATTGAGATTAAACTTGATGATCCACAGGACCAGGCTAATTTGATGGGTGATGTATGGGAGAAAATTCTCTCCCACAATAACACTCGTCGATTTAACAATAATCACTATCAGTTGGCAAATGAATGGAGAGATGAGAACTTAGATGATATACAACCACTACCTTCTATCGATACATCAAATCTTGAAGACTCCCACCCGCTTACTAGACCTATTACATTACTCGAGATGAGTCAGGTTATTGGAAGAATGCGAAATAGAGCCCCTGGTC